AGGGAGGAGAGGCGAGAGAGAGAGGGAGGAGAGGCGAGAGACAGAAATCATAGTAATGTGGAGAGGAGAAGTTCCGTTCTCACCTCGGACATCAGACATCCTAGAATGTAGAGGGATTGCCCCCACATATGTGGAAGCTTTCCCATGGGGATCCGGTCTACACTGTGCGGGTTTCTATATTCTTCTTCCACCTGAAATAGGAAACATCAATTTGATCCCCAACATATTCCATCTCTCTGCATTACACTCCCCTCGTCTACAGGACCCCGGACCTTATCTTCCGGGACGCTGTACAGTTCTGGGACCAGCTGCACGCCGTGCTTCCCCTTGATGAGGACGCCTTCCAGAGCCTCTCTGTATTCCTGCACCTGGGATAGGGAAATATAAATGAAACAACGTTGGCATTTTGTATACTGTATCTATATACTGCGTCCTATTCACATCCCCGGGGGAGGGGGGGTCTCACCTGCTCCATGTCACCAATGAAGATCCCATCCAGGATTAAATACGTCCAGAACAGAGGCCACTCACACTCAATGTTCTCAAACAGCTTCAGCTCCGCCGGCTCATAGTACAGCCGCGAGGGATCCTGATACAATGTACAGAGAACACAACATTATATACAGAAATATTAATTATGTTTTAGGTCTCAGAGGAGAGGAGGGAGCTCATACCTCCAGCGGAGTGCGATATCCGTCACGCAGAAAACGACAACAACCGTACCGGCCCTGAGTATAGAAAGATCACCAATAAATAAAGGAACGTAAAAGACGGCTCACTATTCCGATACAGTGTATATACTGCCCCCTGTGATATCCTCCACACTCCTCTCCTGTACATGGAAATGAAGTAGGACGACTGATGCAAGGAATGATGGGAAGAAAAGAAGAGCGTAGAATCTGTACATATTGATATCTCGCTCCTACGATACCTGTAACTTGATAATGATTTCCTGTTTTGTGATGTCCACTAGCTGAGCGTCCTCCACAGCAAAGGCTGGAAAGGAGATGACGGAAAAGAGGCCGGCGTCTATCTCCTTGGACGTGGAAGCTCTCGGGAGCATGGACTGAAGAATAGACTATAAAAGAGGAAAGACGATGATTATGGGGCGAGAAGCAGAGACGAGGACACTACGAGCACAGGTCATCCCCGTACCTGACAATGCTGGATCTCATCAGACAACACATGGATGACAGACTGGGGGCCGCCTTTAGCACCAAACAGATTGAGCTCATCCAACGCCTCCAGGGCAGCCTGAGGAAGAGACGGATTTCATCATAAAGACATCAAATGTAAAGAAATAGGGAGGAAAATGGTGCATGGGAGCAAGTCTGGCCAGCGGGGGAGCAAGTCCTGGCTCCTCTGGCCCACAAAGGAGCAACTGCTCGCTCATCCATCAAGCAAGCAAGGGAGCAACTGCTTGCTCATCTGGCCACCCCACTCGTCTGGCCGTGAAGGGAGCGACACCCCCATTCACCTGGCCCGTGAAGGGAGCGACACCCCCATTCACCTGGCCCGGGAAGGGAGCGACACCCCCATTCACCTGGCCCGGGAAGGGAGCGACACCCCCATTCACCTGGCCCGGGAAGGGAGCGACACCCCCATTCACCTGGCCCGGGAAGGGAGCGACACCCCCATTCACCTGGCCCGGGAAGGGAGCGACACCCCCATTCACCTGTCCCGGGAAGGGAGCGACACCCCCATTCACCTGTCCCGGGAAGGGAGCGACACCCCCATTCACCTGTCCCGGGAAGGGAGCGACACCCCCATTCACCTGTCCCGGGAAGGGAGCGACACCCCCATTCACCTGTCCGGGGAAGGGAGCGACACCCCCATTCACCTGTCCGGGGAAGGGAGCGACACCCCCATTCACCTGTCCGGGGGGAAGGGAGCGGCACACCCATTCACCTGTCCCGGGAAGGGAGCGACACCCCCATTCACCTGGCCCGGGAAGGGAGCGACACCCCCATTCACTTGGCCCGGGAAGGGAGTGATGCTTTGCTTACCTGGCCAGCAATAGACTCCTTGCTCACCCAGCCAGCAAGCACCTCTCCCCTCCAGCCAGCGAGCGGTCGGTCACCAGTGACAACATAGGAAGCGTGCAACGGCTTTTAAGAAGAGATTAAAATGTTTATTTAATGCCTCATTCAAGTCCCGAATGGGATTCCAAGTACTGCTGTTGCCCAAACGCTGACGTTGGAGTTAAATAACGCAGCGACTATGAGCGGCAACGTGTAAATGAATCAGTGACATGAAAGCAACAAGAACATATTCTGAAAGTGAAGCCGCGTGCCATTCAAAAGGACCTCCACGTGTCCGGCACTTCCCTTACCTTGGCCATTCCAACCGAGCTGCCGTTCAGCTCGCTGATGCCCTGATTGGTCTTATCGCCCCGTTCCCACATCCCAAAGTCCTAAAGAGACATAAGAGATCCGATGACCAATGAAATGAGCAGCAGATTAGTTCTAACAAGTCACATCCCATACACGTTACACGTTCTCATCTCACTTACCGCTGTTTTATAAGCTGCTTCAATGTAAAAGACCAAATTTTGTATAAAGGTGACTTCATCCAGAGTGTAGACTATGTGAAGACCTGGAGGGGGAAACAATTAGAACTGTAGTGCTGCCATATTTTTAAAGCAGTTTCACTTAACTTTATTGCTATCACACAGGAGCTGACAAGCCCCTGTGCGATAGCATTTGGAGGTGACGGGTTCTCTTTATGGAACCCGTCATCTCCAATGCAGGAGTTCTAGCACAACACTGTGCTGGCTCTCCTGCGACAGCTGAGATGGGAAGGCTGCGAGCGCAGTTCTCCTGTCTCAGTGTTTACACGGAGCAGAGTATGGACGGACGTTCTTCACTCTGCTCCCCAACCTGAACTAATGTGCCGAAAACCATGAAAAAGTCAAAATAGCAAGTAATTTCAATAAACACTTCTCGCCTTTTGAAGGCTGTACATAGACGGCTGTTGGCCAAGCTGTAGGCACACGTACCTGTCTGATCATGCATTGGAGAAGACCTCTCATAAGCTTCACCACATTCTGTTAGGGAAAGAAAAGCAGGCATGTCATTGGCTTAGAGGCGAATCGGTTGTATCCAGTCAGCAAACATTCTGAAAATGATTCATTGAGGTGTCTACTGTTAAAAAGGTTAAATTTGCTTTAGTCTGTTCAGATCAAACACATGAGTTTGAGGGCGCATATGGTGCCGTCTGCACGGGTCTCTTGGATGTTCCGGTAAGGAGTGCAGCAAGACCTCTGTTCTTAATATGGTGCAACGGGGCGCCAAAAGCATGGGGGCCAGCGGGAGAGCCAAAAGCATGGGGGCCAGCGGGAGAGCCAAAAGCATGGGCCAGAGGGAGAGCCAAAAACATGGGGGCCAGCGGGCCAAAAGCATGGGCCAGTGGGAGAGCCAAAAACATGGGGGCCAGCGGGAGAGCCAAAAACATGGGGGCCAGCAGGGGAAACAAAAACATGGGGGCCAGCAGGGGAAACAAAAACATGGGGGCCAGCGGGGGAAACAAAAACATGGGGGCCAGCTGGGGAGCCAAAAACATGGGGCCCAAACAGGCAACAACTTTCAGGCTGTGGTGGCCTATATTGCTCCCACCAGCACAACCCCCACCTCCACCCATGGGGAGAGAGCAATCTGATCACAACCACTGGATGTGGCCCTATTTCCAGTATATCTGCACTACCAAAGCGCTTCTTTACCAGGACTTTTTCTTCCCCATTTGCCAAAATATATGCAAACCAAATACATTAGCGGACACCTGCCCTTGGAAATGAAGATATACTGGAAATAGGGCCACACCCTGTGCTTGTGATGAGCTTGTTAGGGATCCCAAAACCACGACCATTAATATGGAGTTGGCCCCTTGTGCAGCTATAAACATCCTCCACTTTTCTGGGAAGGATTTCCACAAATGTTTGGGGGGTGTCTGGAGAAAATTGTGGGCCAAATGAGCACTTGTCGATGTTGGATGAGAAGACCTGGCTCACTAGTGGCATTACAGGTCACCCCTAAGGTGTTCAGCAGGGTTGAGATGAAGGCTCTGTGCAGGACACAAGGAGTTCTTCTGCACCAAACTGGTCACTACATGTCTTTATGGAGCTGGGCTGGTAAACCTGAACACAAATCAATCACCAGGTACACCTATGTTCTATAAAATGTTTCTATGTTCCATAGGGCTGAGATCGGGGCTCTGGTGTGGAGGAACTTGAGTGGCCTTCACAAACTGGTCACACCATGTCTTTATGGAGCTGACTCTGTGCACAGGGGACAGTCACTGTGGAACAGAAAAGGGTCTGCACTGATACCGTTTTTTCGGTATCTAGTACCGATATTTTGCATTTGGTACTAGCCGATACAGAGTACAGATACTGATGCTTCCGCTGGCATGGAGCCGGCTTCCCGGGCAATCAGGAAGCCTGGTGGTGGGCAAAAACATGCCGCCTGGCTTCCTGATTGCCTGGGAAGCCGGCTCCATGTTGTTTGGCCGGTTCAATTGTGATTGACGGGGAAGAGGGTCTCCCGGCCAATTAGGAAGCCAGGACATTACTCACCACCCGTTTCCTGATTGCCCGAGAAGCTGACTCCATGTTCCCCTACAGCACTGCCTGTCAGAGGAAATCTCAGAGGGATCGGAGCATTTGGGCGAGTACGAATACTTGCCCAAATACTCGGTATCTGCACCTAAACCAGTATCGGTGCATCCCTCGTCTTCACCAAACTGTTACCACAAGACCGTAAGAACACAATTGTCTAAAATGTTTTTGTATGATGTAATATGACCAGGAACCTTCACTGGAAACATCTTGGCTCAACCATTGAGGGGTTCCAGTTCATTGTAAAGGTGTTCCGTAGGGTTGAGGTCAGGTCTCCATGCAGGAAACTTGAGTTCCTCCACCAAACTGGCCAATGTCTTTATGGACTGAACTCGATCCTTTGGAGGGGGCACCAAATAACGGTTGGCCATCTGGTGTAGTTGGAAGAGTCAACCAAGACTCAAAGGATATGGAAAATGGACTTTGGACGGGAGCTATTCTAGGATCTACTGCAGCATGGTAGTCTCCATTCTACTACAACATCTACAAGAATGGGTTCGCATTGAGAACACCAGACTCCTCCAGAGGACCAACGTTAGCAAATCTGACAAGTTCCTGCCACCCAAATAAGAGTCTTCCCATTCGGGAGCAGTATTATGTTCATCCTTGTACCTGCAGCTCAATCAGCACGACACAAGATATTGAGAATGACCTTTAGCGGGGACACGCTGCATGAAATATTAGACACGGCTTAGGACAGGACGGCCTTTATGAGCAGCCATGAGGTTGAGGAACTCGCGTAGCTGAACTCTGCAGAAACCAAGTCTTGTATATAGAACAGTATACAGGAACATAGTATACAGCAAGGAGATTCTGAGCATGGACTCGGTGATGGAGGCTCCTAGCCCGATACCATTACTCTTCACATCTTACCTGTTCCAGCTCATAGGCCTTCGCCTTGTCCTCATCCCGGTCCGCGTTCTTCCTGTACGCGAGGCTCAGACCCCATACCGCCAGGATTGTGTACACATTGTCCCGCACCCAGGCATCTTTATGTTCACAGCTGGCCGGCAGTAAACCCGTGACCGGATTCTGAAATAAACATCCACAAAATTACATTCAAGGTCTTTATTCTCTCATTTATCAAGTCTGACGACTAAAGTCTTGCGATGGTTGTAGAGTGTATGGCCACCTTTACTCTGACTTCATGGCACACTGGGAGCTTCCTCACAATGTGCATTAGAATCTGCAGCAAGTCACATAGAGCTTGTCTCATTTCCTGGCCGGAGGACATCCAGCATCCCCTGGTACTTCCCTCCCCAGCCTGTCTCTGGCCCTACCCCCTTCATTCATTGGATTTCCGATCTTTCAATCATGGAGGTTCAGCATCACCTGTGGCTGTTACCTAGGATGTATTAATTGCAAGAACTTGCACTATTGGAAATTGGGAATGATAAGATATATATGATATTACAAATGATATTAAAAATATTATTAAAAAGATGTGTTAAAATAAAAATAGAATGGATAAATAGTGAAGGATAGTTTTTCTAAAAGGGTATGGGAAGCGGCTGGACTAAAGGCACTCAGCCCTTAATAGGATGTGTATTCTTAGAATGTACAGCGCTAGCCCTCCTTTAGACTGAGATGTAAGAAATCAAACATTTAAGATCAGGGTTTGAGGTAGGCAATTAAAGCTAAAAAAATCAGACATTCAGTGCAGGGGGGTGTATCGCAAAGGCTCAATAATTTAGATTAAATCTATGTGAGTGGTTGTGTATAACAAGTGATCAAAAGATGTGAAATTTATCTAATAAGTGTTTAAAAAACTGTGATAAACTGTGAATATTTGTATCAAGTGTAAATAAATATATTAAAATGGTGAATAAACAATGTGTAACCATTTAAATAAACTGAAATGAAATAAACTTCTATCAATGTATCCGTGAATAGTCCAAATCTTTTGTAGTTGTTCAAGTCTTTAAAAGTCCATAACTGTAAGACACTTCCACAGTGAAAAATCAGTACAATAATGTGTCCAACACAAATCCAAAAAACAGAAGAAAAAATGAAGAAAAAAAGTGGAGAAGATCCCCTCAAGGGACTACACTCACCAGATCAGAAGATGTTAAACTTCGTTTTTTCTTCTGTTTTTTGGATTTGTGTTGGACACATTATTGTACTGATTTTTCACTGTGGAAGTTTGGATTTTCGTTGAACACACGATTGCACTGAATTTTCGTTGTGGAAGTGTCTTACAGTTATGGACTTTTAAAGACTTGAACAACTACAAAAGATTTGGACTATTCACGGATACATTGATAGAAGTTTATTTCATTTCAGTTTATTTAAATGGTTACTTTAGAATTTCGCCCCCATCGGCACATTGTTTATTCACCATTTAATATATTTATTTATTTACACTTGATACAAATATTTCACAGTTTATCACAGTTTTAAACACTTATTAGATACATTTCATACATCTTTTGATCACTTGTTATACACAACCACTCACATAGATTTAATCTAAATTATTGAGCCTTTGCGATACACCCCTGCACTGAATGTCTGATTTTTTAGCTTTAATTGCCTACCTCAAACCCTGATCTTAAACGTTTGATTTCTTACATCTCAGTCTAAAGGAGGGCTAGCGCTGTTACCTAGGATGGTTTGCATGCTAGGAAGATAGGTGTGCTAGGTGTAGATCTCCAGTGTATACAGGTCATGCTGGGACATGTAGTTCACCAGCAGCTAAATGTTTCTGGCACGGGGGAGCTGAAGGAGTAATTGGGAGCCGTCAATCACAGGTGGTGCCTGAGGGGTGTAGGTAATTGGCTCCGAGCCCAGAATGGGTGGGGGGAAGGTAACTGTGCAGGTGAGGGTTTGGCAGCATTACCTGTGATATAATCCCTTCCTCAGCACCACCCATAGGAAGATGGAAAAACGCCAATAAAGCCGAACTCTGGGCAACAAAACCGTCATTTATATATATTATTTAATATATACTATTAAGAGCCACACAGGATT